CTAAGGAGAGCAACACCCAGGTTTGCTCTTTGCAATGAACTGCAAAGAGAAAAAACTGGTGGACAGGAAAAGGAAAGAAGAGGAGCGAAAACAAATGATGAAGCCTCTGCAGGTCCTTAGGGGTAACAGAGGGAAAGGAAGTTTTTAAACAAGAGGGGAAAAGACCTTTGAATAAAACCCGTGCAGGCTCTGGCTGGTGTTTGCTGTTGGAAGGAGCAAACTTAGCTGCCCACATGGACTGGTATGCTGCCTCTAGCTGCTGCTCCCAAATACAGTGACAGAAAACAGGTGGGCTCTGTGCAGAACCTGTATGGCAGCCATGCTTAGAGCTTACAGCTTAGAGCAGGGTTTCCATCCCATTCCTCAGTCCTCTCCCCACAGCTCTCTGTCTCAAAGGGTCAGAGCTTAACCAGTCAGATCCAACTGGTCAAGCAGGCCTCTTATTCCTAATTCTTAATAAGGAATAAGGTATTCCTTATTCTTAATAAGGATGGAGGCCTTATTTGTTCTGCTGATCTTAGCAAGAGAATAAGGTGATCACTGCACCTGTGATATAAAGAGCAGGATATGTGCTTTCTAATCATAGCCCAACATTGTGAAGCCAGCATATATCCAGTGAATGAGTTAACATGAATGTAATTCTCCATTGGATTGTAGTTCCTTTGTGTTCATATCATTTAGTAGCGATTTGAGTTTTACTTTAAAAAGGTTATGGTCTTTAGATGAAACTTTGCATTTTTATTGTGTTATTAATTACAATAATGATCTTCTATGACTGGAAATGAGGGATATAATGTAAAGGGATAAATAACTCTAGTCTTATTAATAAGACTAGTTATGGTTAATTATGAGCAGTATATGAAATAGCAAAGGGCATTTTACAAATATGTTGATTTTTAGTTTGATCTCTTTAATTTTTAAAAAAATAAAAACACATTTCTTTTTTTTTTTAAATAAAACACTACATTGTAATACATAATACACATATTACATTATTTTAAAAAAAGAATCATGGCTTTAACTCATCCCAGTCTCATTGACATGAATGAATCTGTACAGGTTTATTCCATGTTAAGGGTAAAGAGGAAGTTAATCATATTTTAAAGGAAAAAAAATATTTAAAAATGGAATTATAGGAAAATAAAAGAGAAACAGTGTTGTGGACATTTATAAAGCCTTTTTATTAATGGTGATTGAGAATGACCAAACTACAGAGCAAGAAGAGGCAATAATACCAAAAGAACAGAGCAGTGTTAGTGATAACTGCCTACGTTTTGGTTCAAATATATAAGCTCTTATTTATTTGGATTTTAAATAAGATTATTGTGAAAGACTGTTTAAGAATGAAATCTTCATCAGGCTTAAATTATTATTTGAAAATTAGTATATTTTACTGAATTTTTTTAACAATGCTAAGCAAAGAAAAAATGCAATCATGTTGAAATTTTGGTTTTATTCAGTACTTGTAGGATTTAACTTAGTACAAGTAGTCCCCAGTTTAAGAAGGAGTTCCATTCTCAAGGTCTGTCCTTAAGTCGAATTTGTATGTAAGCCGGAAGAGTATTATTGTATAATACTGTATAAATAGTATTGTATAATTAACTTGGACTATTGTGTATTTAACTTGAATCATTGTGTATTTAACTCAAATTTTGCTACAGTAGGCTCTGTCCTTAACTATGAGTCATCCTTAAACTGGGCACTCTTAACCCTGGGACTACCTGTATAAATTTATAAGGTACAGAATAGTTAATAATTTGTTTTCCAAATGAGACAATCCAGGAATATATTTGCTTGTTTAAAATATTTAAATTATTTTTGGAGTAGACTTCTCTGAAATAGCATAGAATAACGCTTAAAATTGCAATTAAACAAATACAAGTTTCCTCACTTAATGCAAATTCCCTATTAAGGGATTGATTATTTTAATCTAAGAATTTACTTTAGATGAAAAAGCAAAGGCTACTGCAATTTCTGCTGGCATAGTCAGTTTGCACTAACGGTCTGGAAAATGCCTATACTTCTTCCCATCAAAACTACTTGAACATTTTCCTGCCAAAACCCCTTTCTGCCATCATTCACACATTTACCGCTGTATTGTAAGGTTATTCTAGTTGTGTTCCTGTCTCCCACTTACTTCCATACCTACAATAGCAACTATTGTTAAAGTCAGGTCAAAATAGCCATCAACATCTTATCCAAAAGAACAAAAAAAAAGAACCTCTCTAACACTAGAAACAAAGGTGTATATGTTACATCACACTGAAGCTGGTGAAAGATCCTCAGCCCTAAGACAAGCTTTTAACCTGGGCAAATCTACTGTGCACAACAAAATAAAGAATGCTAATAAAATTCATAGTGTTGCGATACATTCTGCCTGTCTGCCATGATAATCATGCACATTAGAAATCTAGCTGTAGAAAAAATGGCAAAAATGCTTTCACTATACACAGAGACCAGGAAGAAGACATTGTTGAGTAATGTAGTGCTTAAGAATAAGACACTAAAAATGTATGAGCACTTTTGTCAATGCAATTGGGCTACAAAATTTGATATCGTGCCCCACAACCCCCTTTTTGCCCTGATTCATTGTCTTGCTTTATGTGAATTGCTTAATGTGAGGTTTTCAGGGAACGTAACTCTAGTGTAAAGTGAGACAAACCTGTATAAAAACAATGAAATTAATTAATAAATACATTTGATACCCTTGTAAATGCAGTGTTACTGCATGAAGTCCAAAACCTAATGTAGGCAGAGTTAATCATAAGGCATGTTTGGAGACCTGTAATAATGGGACCAGGGAGATGCCGGTTGGAACAGAGCTCCTGGTGGGAGTAACTGTAGGCTTCTTAACTGATAGTGAAAATGATTTCATGGGGCTTTTATGTTCTATGAGGATGGACAGACTTCCTGACTATTGAAAACTGCCAGAGTTGGTTTGGATGAGTAAATGCCTCTTGAAGGATGCAAGAAGCAGCAATGAAGCCTTTGTTAAAGAAACCAAATTTAGATTTAATGGATTGAGATAATTACTTTCAGAAACATCAGTATCAGCAATTGAAGAAGGAATAAACATATCATTTTCCATTTGTTTGCTTGCTTACGTTCGATTCAAAATCAGCAAAGTATCTAGCAGAAGCTTCTACCATCAGTTGAATCAGAGAACTTGTTTAGATAGCAGACAGAACTCTGACCAGATGATCTTTTACTTGAGTTGCCCTTGAAGATATCATCTGGGACAAGAGCTGTGAGAGAAAAAGACAAGAAATCAGCCCTTTATAAAAGGAATGTGCTCTTTTTCTGTCTTACCTTCTTACCAATGACTTTTTCAAGTCAAGCCAGCTAGAAACATCATTAGCCAGAGAGTCATGCCATGCCAGATATAATCCTGATCCAGCATATTGCAGCATTCAGGTTGTATCATCATGCTGCACAATGTTTTCCTTTAGGCTGTCCTCTGGGGCCTAATATTCTTTTTCCTCCCTCAAATAAATAGATGTCTTAACAGCCCATGCTTTAACTATTCCCATTCTGTTCTCTAAATCTATTCAGAGTAGATATAGTAGGATAATTTAACTAGTGATGAGAGAATAAAACATGCATTTTTAGGTTCATACATTTTGACTACATAGAAAGTAGTAGACCTACCATGCAGTTTTACTGCAGATTGCCTATATGTTTAGCTATGAACTCATGGCCCCTGTTCCAAGAAAATCTGGTACAGTTTTTCAACTTATGACTACAGTAGGGCCTGGAAAATTCATTGTTAAGTGGTGCAGTTGATAAGCGAGGTATCATATGACCACACCTGATTTTACAACATTTTTTGCAGTAGTCGTTAAGCAAATCACTATGTTCATTAAGTGGTTGTTAAGGAATTACATGGTTGTTAAGCGAATCATGCAGTCATTAAGTGAATCAGACGGTTCCCCATTGATTTTGCTTGTTGGAAGCCAGCTGGGAAGGTCGCAAATGGCAATCATGTGATCCTGGGATGCTGCAGCCATCATAAATACATGCTGATTGTCAAGCACCCGAATTTTGATCACATGATTGCAGGGACGCTGCGATGGTTTTAAGTGCGAGGACTGGTCGCAAGTCACTTTTTTTAAGCACACTCGTAATTTTGAATGGTTGCTAAATGAATGGCCATAAGTTGAGTAGCTATAAATGTAGAACTTTCCATTTTAGACTTTCCAGTGTGCTTCAGATGTATTTCTCTCTATAAGGTACTTGTAATGGAAAATAATTTGGCATGATCTGGGGTTGCTTTTTAATTTAGCATTTGGAAGGTTTTTATATGTTCACCAGTAAAATTTCCTGAGCCTTCAATTATATTTCTTAGATAAGTAGGAAGCAAAAATTGGTCTATTAAAAAAATAATGCAGATCATGTTAAAAAAACAAGCCATACAGAATGTTCCTTACTAGAGATTCAAGCTAGGAATCAGTGAACATATTGAATGCTTCTTAAATAATGTTGCAGATTATAGTTTGTATTCATATGTTTAAGTTAAAGTATGAATTACATCCAAATGGAAATTTTCACAGCACAGCAAAATTGTATAGTGTATCGTATAGTATAAACTGTACAATGTTACCTGGCCGCTGAAAAATTCTGACCGTACATAGTTTTGTACGTGGGTAGTTCTTTTAATCCCTATGTATTAAATGTACATACAGAAAATATAAAGCCTATCCCTGTGGATTTCTTTACTGAATCATTGCCATACATACAGATTTATATACATATAAGTGTGTGTTTATGACATATTTGAAAGTAAAAAACAAAAAATGGGGATTAGACATTGCAAACGAATACTCTATAATTTGTGCTTTTTGAAACAAGGATTCCAAGAGCATTTTGAAGTGGGCCTTCAGTTACAATTACTCGAAGTCCATTGATTTTTAAAAATTTATTGAAACTTTGCTGTTAAGTATGATGTAGCGATATTTTTCCTCACCTTATTCCTCACTACTTTTTAAATTTTTATTTGAAAGAAGCACTATTGACGGACCTATCAGCAATCCAGTAAACATCTGCAAATTCTGCAAGAGGAAGCATAATCTGGGATATCCAGAAGACAGCAGTGAATGGTGTGAGTAAACTATACAATAATGGTTATTGAATACTGCCTGTTTAGCTATATTTGACATTAGGGAATCAGAATCAGAAGGATTAATGCCACATTTCACTTACTTACCCATGATGACAAATAAACTTCAATGTTTTGGCAGTATGAAGAGGTCTGAGATGTCTAGTATATCAGTTTGCTTCTAATGTCATGATGGTTTTTTATGAAAGGCATTTTTCTTTACATATGAGTAACCAAGAGAATTGTTAAAATCAGACTTTTTAAATATTCACAGATTTATTGTTTGCACAGTTCTTAGGAACTGTTAAAAGAAAAGGGAAGTAATAGTTGAAATTTCATTTAAACTTAAAATATGTCAGAGTATTATCAGTATATTTGAACAGTAAAGCCTTCAAAAGAAGGTGTGGCAAAATATGTATTAGAAATTTTATGCTTGTCTTAGCTGTCAAAATAAACATTTTCTTGATATGAATTAATTCTGTGACATTATCCAGAAGAGGGCATTCTGTGATGGACTGGAATGGAGGAAGGGGGGTGAAAACGGTGCTCTCGTCTCCAGAGCAACACTCTGGAGATAAGCGGAG